GCACTGAGAAAAGATGATTATGTAATATAAATACATTATTAACAAAATGTGTTAGACTGTATTTAGAATATTAAAAATTGATACAAACACCAAAGGCAATTTGTTCACACCCATGAGATTTTTTTTCTTTTTTTCTATTGAATTTTTTTCTCAGAATTGATGACAAAAACAGCAATAGATATTCAAAAGTTGAATCTTTTATATTTTCAGTAGTTAAGTATTTTACTATTTTAACATTTAGGAATTATAAACATCAGGAAGAAAAATATTACTATTATACTTTATGTAAAACAAGACCAAATCTTTCCACTTAACATACATTCCAGCCATAAGCGTGTTTAGCTTTCCAGGCAGAACGCAATTAGAAATGTAAGCATTGTGCAATGCCTGTTAGTGCTAAGAAATGAAAGTTCTGATTACATGCGAATACAATTGAATGGTCACTCTTCCATGATTCATAATTGAGAAAAGGGTGAAAAATGTACCTTATATTTTTTAAAAACAAAATTTTAAATTACTGAGCCCACCAATCAAGTGAGGTTACAGAAGCATCCTGTCAACAGTTCACAAAAGTGCTCTAAGGCTAATTCATCTTAGTTATTCCACTCACCAACCACTGAAGGCCAGAAGATGCTAATAGATTATGATCACATAGTGCACACACACTACTCTATAATGATTACTTCTATCTAATTTATTTTGTTTTGTGATGTAGGTACCACCTACTTGTGCATAATGTCATGTTATAAGTTAAGTCTGCTTTGTTTCCAAGATGTGAACACATGATTACTTTTTATAATGAGGAAAAATAACATTTTATTCCCTCCAAATTTATCCATTTAAGTACCTTCATTCATCCCATATTTGATAGTGAGGTAGCAGAAGTCCAGAAACTCACCCATCAACTTTAACAATTTTATTTTATGCATGGGCTCCTGAGATATTTACCAGTCACAAGATTCCCATAAGCATTCTATTTCTATTTAAAAACAAACCACTGGAGTCATAATTAGTGGCAGTGTTTTGATTCAGTTCCATCAAAGGGTGAAATCTGTTAACACTGAAGCATACTAGAACTAGAAATATATGCATATGTTACATATGTATATATTTAAAAGCAGTGACCTGCCATCATTTATCAAATGAATTCATAGTTAGTTAAATGTAGAATTCCTCATTTAAAACATTATTGTATCTTTAGTTAAAGAAAGGACTTTATGAAGTAGTGGTGTGTTTATGAAGTTGGAAAACAAAATCTTTTTAAAAAGTGCTTACGGCCTTAAATCAAAGGACTGTGCTCCTTTTTAAAAAAAAAAGCTATCTGTTTTTTTTTATAATGTCAAACATCAATACAGCAAAACAGGATGCAATTTTTCTGAATAAATAAATCAATGATGTGTCAAAAATTAACAGATGAGTTAATATACTTGGTGCTATCAAAACCAGATGGTGCTTCCTAATATTCATCCTGCTCAGTCAAACCCTGAATATTTTCTGGACCATCGGTATATAAAATAGGATGCTGCTATTTGTGATGGCAAACAAAAGCAATCATGCCTGCCAAGCACATACTATAACAGGCAGCATTTCAGCTCTGCTAGACAGAAAGTAATTAGAATGCTTTTAATGTCCAAAAGAATGATGCTGATAGGCTGCCACAGATGTGTAGATTTATGAATATTTATATGGTGGTTTATAGCTGACACTTTTATCAGTTGAAGAAGATAAAATATCTGCCTGACTCAAAAGCTTGACAGTCAGGTTAATAAAATCTCATTAAAGAGAATGACCTATGCAATTATATAGGATTTATTGTAATTCATTTTTGATTGTACTCTGCTTAAAGATGCAATTTCCCATTTCCTGATGCCAAATTTAGGCTGCATATCAAGATCTACGTGGGTTTTTAACTCTAAGCCATCCATACAGGAAAGATATGCTTTAGAAATCATGGTATGATACAAGTTCAAAAGATAATTATTTTGATATTCTGTTCAGAATCATCACATGAAAATAATGAAAAGAACTTGGAAATCTATTTTTATAATATCACATTTTAAAAATCTTATAGTGATTTCTATTGATAGAACACTAGACCAATCTGCAGTCATTTGCTTAATTCATTGCCTTAACTCATTAGTTTTCTGGTCATAGGAACATGTTTCCTATTCTCCAACTTCAACTTCTATCCCTCTCATTCTTTAACTTAATCTTTGAACTATTTCAATGCATCAGGTGGACTGTCTTTTGAGAAAACACACTTTTTTTTTTTGCAAAGTGTTTAAGTGTCTGTCTGTCTGCACACCTGCTCATTGGTTCAAATTGGAACCACTGGTTTCTCAAAGAACCAATCAGCTCTTTAGATAACTGTCCCTGAGATGGATACTCATATCCCTGTCAAGAGTTGTCTCTGTCAGTCAATATCATTACTATTATAAGCATAACTTGTACATACTAGATTGTGGCTTTCTTCTGCATTTTGACTTGGGCCCACCAGATCATGCTTTCCTGACTGCTGGAAAGGAGTTATCCAGTTCCCATCTTGCCAATGAAAAAACTGGTCTTCCGCCCTTGATACTACTAGACTAGCCCCCTTTATGGTCTGTCCTTTACTGCTGAGGAAGAGAGACAGCTTCTGCCTCTGTGCAGTGATGCTAACTTTATTGTTATTTAGGAGTTCAAGACCCTACTGGAAATTATAGAAATATAAGTTTAACTATGGAGGAAATCAGGAGAGAAAAAAAAAATGGTGTCCAGGACAAGGCAAAAGAGAAAAGAATGTAATGAGCAGAAATAGAAAAACTATCAGGGTAGATGAAAGAGAAAAGATGAAGGGCAATAATTCTGAGGGAGAAATAGGAGAGAAAAACACACCAAGCAAAAAGGACATACAGCAAGACATAGCAAAAAAAGAAAAAGGTAAAAATGATGAAAATGAAAAGAGAAGACAAAAATAAAGTGAAGAGAGACTAGCAAGGATGCAAAGAGAAGTTAAAAGATTGAAAGCAAAGGCTAAAAAGAGCAGATTTTTAAAGAGAGAGAACAAGAATTGGAGAGAAGGGATCAAAATAGAAACCAAACAGAAAAAAGTGAGAAAATAAAACAGAAAAGGCCCCTCCAAAACTGAGCAAGAGAAAAGAAACAGCTAAATACAGAAAGAAAAAGGGCAAAAGAATATAAGAACGTAAAAAATAATGAGAAAGCTGAGGCTGAGATGAGAGGAATAAAAGAATGGAAAAGGAAAGAACCAAAAGTAGAATTAAAAAAACAGGAACCAAAGCAGATAAAGTAGATTAGTATGATTTAAAGGGAAGATGCTAAGAGGAGGGAAAAAGACAAGGAAAGAAGCAACAGAGAAGTCAAATTGTAGAAAAGAAAAAGAAATTAGATCAAGAGATGCTGACAAAATAATGAAAAAATGCACACAAAGCCTGATCATAAAACTCATCTAAACAACACCTGACACACAAAATTGGCCAGTGAAGCGGCAGAGCTAGTCTTCACCATACCCTATAATTAGGTTTTCTGTCTCAAAACTAATCATTCAAATGTCAAAATATTGACAAACAGCATAACGTTTGCTTAGGGCTCCATAACTCATGTGGGGGCAAGGTGCCCTCATTTTCAGTTAAAGAATTTGCCCATCAATCAACAAACATTTATTAAGCACCTACTATGTGCCAGGCTTTGTGCTAAGGGGCTCAGCTTCATCACTGCTCAGTTTATTTGCTCTATAGAGCTATGAAAGGCCTGAGCAGGAACTTTTGGCTATTATGTGTTAAATAAAGCCAAGGGCTAGGCACTAAAAAAATCACTCTTAGGTTTTCCCCACTCAGCTTTCTTATCTGTCCATCTTTTCCCCAGCAAAGGTTGAACAGAAAGATTCCCTTTTTCCAGAGACTAGCACTGCAGACCCAAGGGGAAAGGGGTGTTAAAAGGAATTTAGAACTCTTTATAAACTGCTTCTCACAATGCATTCTCTTGTAAACTCTATGCCATTCGGACTGGAGAAATAAGGCCCCCTGCTGAGCAATATTTCATATCAGACAATTCTGGCAGGCAAACATTGAGACTTCTTGGGCCTCCAGTAAAGGACCAAGAATTTCTACCAATTTCTACCAGGAATTTTATGATCTCCTTGGAGGCCAATCTACTTTTCACTCAAAGTAACAGGAGCAAAAAGCAACATTTTGTGGCCAGAGAGGGGAAGGAAAATGGGGAGAGGGATGGGAGGAGAGCAGAGAGAAAAGCTAAGAGGAGAAAGAAGAAAGATGAGAAAAGTAGAAAGGAGAGAAAAGGAAGGAAGAGAAAGAAAAATAGAAAAGGAAAAAGAGACGGGAAAATTGAAAAGTGGAGAAAAATAAGGAAGAAAAATAAGAAAATTAAAAAAGAGAGAAGGAAGAGAAAAGAAAAGAGGAGAAGTGAGGAGAGGAGAACACCGGGGAGAGGACAGGAGAGAGAAGAGCAAAGTCACTCTGGGGAGTAAGCCGTTGTCTCTGGAGCCCCAGCCCAATCGCATTGTTACAGTGCCGGCATGAATCTCGGCAGCTTCTACCTGTTAGAGGGCAATCTGGTCACTGCAAGACCTTCTTCTGAACAATCCTGTCAAACCAGCTCCTATAGTTCTTTTTCCTTGGAACTAGATTTGCAAGGGAAAAGCCACCTGTTAGGAGCAACACTTTGCGGGGAGTGAGAGGGGAGAGGAGGCGCAGAGGAGTTAGAATCAGCGTCCGCAAGTAGTTTTCAGAGCCCCTTTTCGGGTGGGGTGCGCGGACTGGGGAGGCGGGAGCGAGATCGACGAGCTCCCTAACTCTTTCTGCCTAGTTTGCACGTCCCCTTACTCTTCTCTCTGGCTCATCACCTCAAAGTTAGAGCGCGCGCCGAGCGAGGGGAGGGGTCTCCCCCACTCCACTCCTGCTCCAGTTTTCCCTCCCACCACTTCCCCCCACTGCTGCCCCAGGGAGGGGGTGGGAGCTGAAGTTACAGGAAAGAGTTGGTACCTGCGCTGAGCTCCAGGCTGCCGCCGGCGCCGTTGCTGCTTCCCTCGCTGCTGCTGCTGCTGCTGCTACTGCTGCTGCCCGCGGCCGCCGCCTGGCTGGCTCCGTACCTGGGGACCCCGGCCGCTGCGGCCGCGGCCGCTGCGGAAGAGGAAGCAAGGGGAGCAGGCGGAGGAACTGGAGTCCTCAGGTGGCCCTGGGACACGACTGGGGTGCAGGAGGGGGAGGAAGAGGAGGCGGCGGCGGCGGCTCGGCCGGGCCCGTTCGGATAGGAGCTCTGCGCCTGGTACTGAGGATGCTGCTCGCTGCTGCTGATGGAGGCAGGAGGATGCTGAAAGTGGGGCTGCTGCCCTCCTGCAGCTGCCCTGACCGGAGGGATTTCCACCATGGTGGGTCTCTCGTACCGCTTGGTCAAGGCTGGCCTCTTACTGGGGAAGGTCTTGAGGACGCTGTAAGGGCTCCGCTGCTTGTAGATTTTGGGGAGGCTGGGCCCCTCCTCTGCTGGCTGCATCTCCTCCTCCATCCTCCTCCTCCTCCTCCTCTCCTCCTCCTCCTCCTCCGGGCTGGTTTCCCCCCCTGCACACCCCCTCCCCCCTCCTGCTCTCCGGGCTCTCTCTGTCTCTCCCTGTGTGTGTGTGTGTGTGTGTGTGTGTGTGAGTGTGAGCGTGAGTGTGTGTGTGTGTGTGTATGTGAGTGTATGTGTGTGTTTCTGTGGGGCTGCTGCTGCCGCCGCCGCCGCCGCCGCCGCCGATGCTGCTGGGGCTGCTGCTTGTCGCTAAGGCTGGCACTGCCGAGCCCCCGTGCGGGGGGCTGCTGCCGGGGCCGTGATTGACAGGCGGTCTCTCCAATGCCTGGAGGGAGAAGGGAGGTAAAGAGCAAGTGTTTAGGGTAATATCTGCTAATGATAATGGGGGAAGGAGGCGGGCCCTGGCATCACAGCTGCGGAGAGGGCTTGCCTGCTAGGTCTGTGCCTCTTACTGGGGGGTGGGGGGGGAACGCACTGCCCGAGGGGGAGGGGAAGGAATAGCTAGAGGGGGCGCCCTGAAGACAGGTGAAATGAGTGTGCGACCTGGCCTAGGTGAGCCTGCCTAGCTGCTTGAAGTGGTTTGTCTTAAAGCCCCGGGGCGCTCTTCCACAAGCCCTTGCCCCCGGGCACTTGCTGCTGCCCCTCGGTCTACTTGCTCCGGGCACCCGGCGCCTGGCACGTTCACCCTGCTGCCCTTCTCCTCCCCTGTCGCTCTAGAAAGAACCCCGCACCCAGAAAGGCGTTCCAGGAGTGGCTCGAAGTAAGCTTGCAGTGGGCACGAATCCCTGGGAAAACCTTCCCTCCCCGGGCGCCTCTTGGCCTTCTGGTCCTGACCAATAGAAAGTGTGTTCTGCATCCGCCTGGAAACTTGCAGAGAAATCGAACCCTGGGCCAGCTTCTTGGGGCCAGGGCCACTTGTTAGAAAAATGGGCTCTTCCTTCTACTTCTCCGGCCACAGCCCTGTCTCACTCCGCTACCCACTTCTTTCAGTACCTCAATGGGCTGCTCCCCCAGTCAGAAGTCTGTGGGTGACTGCGACTCCCCAGCTCGCAGCCCCCCTCCTACATCCAGCAATCTGCGCTTCTGAGCCAGGGCTCTGACTTCTGGATATCCTCCTCACTCAGAAAGCGTTTCTTTAAAGCCCAAGTCATTTAACCTCCTTGCCCCTCAGTTTCTTCATTCATGCAATGAGAGCGTTGGACTGGACGACTCCTGAGGACCCTTTCCAACCTTATATCTAATACAATCTTGCTTTGCGCGTGGGGCTGCGCTCAATATCCCTACTGGGCCGCTGTCACAGAGGTCTTCATCCTATCCTCTGGGAGCTTCTAACCCAAGTTTACCATTTAAACAAGCAGAGGACACTTATAGGCTCCACCACCGAATGACTCCTTTGGGAGAGATTTGCAGAAAGAAAAAGCTTTCATATATAGCCAGTGTTCTTTGCTAGGTAGAGGAGCTCTGAGATTTCTTTGTTGGGGCTAAGGGCTGCCACCTTCTTTACCCCAGAGCATCAAGGCCAGGCTTCCTGCAAGTGGGTTGGGGATGGTGGTGGTGACTGTGGTGGTTCAGAGTAGTTTGAATAGTGGGATGGAGGGCAGAAACTATGGGCATGGAGTAGGTAGCTGGAAACCAGACAGGTGATTAGAACAAATGTGCCTGAGCAGACACTGGTTTCTAAGAAAAAAAATGAAGGAAGTGAGCTAATATAAATTCATAGGACTTAGAGCTGGAAGAAGTCTCAGAAAGGTCATCTGGCACAACTCCCTAATAGAGGACACTGAAGCTCAGAGAGGGAATAGACTTGTTAAAAGTCACACAGCTCATAAGAAGCAGAGCCAAGATTGGACTTTCCTCTTGCTTTTGAGCAAGTGTCTGAGAACCTGGTCTCTCAGTCACTTATTCCATTCTCAGTCCTTGAGTAGTCTGCAAAGCAGCATAGACTTCCTGGATCACTCACTCAAGGCCCTTTCCTATACTATGTTCTCCCTGTTCTGTTTCAAATCTAGTCACCTTCCTTCCCCCCTCCCCACCCCAGCCCCTTACCTTGTGTCTTCTTTACTTCCTCTAGTTTTGTGGTAAGTCAATTAATAGACATTTGTTGATTGACTACTATGTACTGAACACTGTGTTAAGAGTGGGTGGGCACCTCTGGTTTCTGGCCGTCAGATGAGGGCCCACTGCCCCTCAGCTCTGCAGTCTTGTTCTCTGAGCTGTCTTGTCAATCTCTGGGTCATTGTTTCATTTGTTTTTTGTGTGATTTGAAATTCTAACCCATGGGTACTCTGACTTCTAATACTCTCTCCCAGGTATGGAAACTTATTTACAGACTCTGTGTTTTGGAAAATGTTTTTCTGTTCTGTTTTTTTTTCTTGTGTCCCTCTGCCCTATCTACCTCCCCTCTCCAGTCTCCTCAGATTGCAGTCTCTTGGTTTTTTTCCCCTTTCCATTTATTAGAGATGAAATAAATAATGCCATAAATAAAAGTATTTGGGAGTCCAGGAACTGTCAGACCTGATTAGGGCATAGAGGACATTTTCTTTCTCATTATGCAAAAGCATTTCATGGAGAAATAAAAGAGGTTTCATTGTAACTCATGCATGTCATATTTCAAGGAATTCAAGATATTAATCATATTTAACATTATTTGCAACGTTTCTCTCTGGCTTCAGAAAACTGCTAAATGAGGACACGTGGATCTCCAGGAAAAAATGGAGACAGGCATTAGAGGGACAGTTAAGAAATAATGAAATGCTGGTGAAAGACAGGGAGAGAATGAGATGCCATAGAGACGTTTCTGAGGCACCTAAGTGAGAAATGGTGGAGATACTTCTGAGATGTGAGACAGCTGAAATTGAATGATATACTAGAGAAAATAAATGATAACAAACCTCCCAACACTTTCCTTTTCTCTTTTGTAAAACAGTTCCATATTTTGCATTTGAAATGTTCCCCCTCCCAACCAATAAGTCATAGCTTTGGAAAATGGAATCATGGGAGTAGTTTACAATACTTCTCCTTAAGAAATAATTCTCTATTACTGGTAGTTTTCTGTTCTGATTATTTATTTTCCTCCCCCTGACCTTCTTTGTCCCATTATCACGTTTGCTCTTTAAAATGCTTAGAATGCTGTCTGTTGCAGTTGACCAAATCAGTCTTGCATGTTAAAAAATGATTCTTCCTATGGAATTGACACCTTCAATAAGAAAGGAAGCTAGAAATGTTGGAACCTCAACACAAAATTCTGAAAGAGGTTCCCTGCTCCTTGTAAATTATAAATTTAACAAATCCCCCAGCCCCTGTGCAAGGCCCGTGAAAAGAGAAAGAATGTGGCAGGAAGGATTCATCTTTCTCCTTCTGACTATTATAGCCTTTTGGCTCTCTCCAGGGCAGATTAGAGCTATCTGAATAATGGACCCATAACAGTTCCAATAACCAGACTTGTGATGAAGTAGATCATTGGATATTTTGGTGGAACTGATTTCATCGAAGCATGTTCTCCCTCCACTGCTTGAACTCACGGTCCCTCCTTGTCTTATTTTGACTCTTATTTAAGCTTTCTCATTAAGTCTCCACTGAGGGGCCACCCAACAACTAAAAGCCTTCCTCTCATGAGTGCTAATGTACCACCTCTGCCATGTATCTCTTGTCTCTCATTCTTGATAAATGAACAATTCCTCTTTCTTTTTTTTTCTTTTTGTTATAGTTGTCCTAGATACCATTTCTGACCAATTTACAACTGATAACCATCTGAGGAAGGTATATAGAATTTAGGGAGCCTTGGTGTGCTTGGACAGTATCCCCTCTTGTGGAAGTTACTGTGACTCCAGGTTCTTGGGGTCTTTTCTGTTTCTGGGTTCCCATCTTTTGCAGGGGCTCCTCAGGCAGTCTATTGTCTTAGAATCATAGACTCTGGAGTCAGAGGGGACTTTAGACTTAATCTAGTCTAACCTTTATTTTACAGACTGAATCTGAAGCCCAGAAAGACTGTGACTTATCTATGTCATTTACTCTTGTCTCAAAAAGTACAGTGAACTTTTAAAAGCCTGGTTACTTTTTATAGATAAGGTAATTTTTGATTGGCAAGATATCAATTCTTAGAGCCATCTAGAATATAGCTTTTAAGTAATAATACAGCTATGAGGAATGTTTTTTATTGCACCAATTTCAATCATATTTAATGAGCTTCTGATTGACTGTTTGATCTCCCAGTGTTTTGTGCTACTTTTAATTCATTTCATATAATAGAAAAAAGTAATTGGAATAAAATTTTGTGACAAGATAATGACCTTCCACTTTGAAATTAAATGTCTGATTAGCTTCAACATTTTAATGTTGAGATGATATTGCAGCAGGAACAGGGGTATGCATATAATAATTTGATAGGAAATGACTAAGAAACATTCTCCTGCCTCTCTCTCTCTCTTTATTATGACATAATAATAATAATAATAATAAAAAAGGCATGATAGTCAAGCAAGTAGGATCTTTTCCAGCAACTCATGAGACCTGCTTTATTTCTTTCATAGTTTACTATTGGATTTTGGGAATGTCTTTTGAATTCTCTGTTCCTCAGTATCCCCTCCTCTATACTAATAGGGATAAAAGCATATTATACCATATTGTGACATACCATAGTGAATGAATTGGGGGGAAAATTTATTAACTACTTACTTCATGTGAAGCACTATGCTACGTGTTAGAAATAAGAAGCCCAAAAGCAAAGACAGCCTCTGCCTTCAAGGAGCTTACATTTTAATAGAAGACAACTCAAATGGTAAAGTGAGGCAGATGGAGTGGTATTTTACTTAGAAAAACTACAGAGTTAGTCAGTGGAGCCCCAGGAAAGTAGATTGACATGTCATTTCTAGAAGCAATGTCAGATGGTTTGATTTTGGATCCAGAACCACAAAACGGATGAGGTTTTGAATAGAGTGACCATATGCTGTGGCTGATGAGAAAATAAGAGGGGAGGGAAGGGGCAGTGAAGTGAAATG